GAGGGAGAGGGAGAGGGAGAGGGAGAGGGAGAGGGAGAGGGAGAGGGCTGAAAGCACTTGGGGATAATGAGGTCTACATTCTGGAACCAGTTCTGTCACTAATGGGGCAGTACTAGGCAAGTCCTTTGGTGTCTCTAAACCTTGAGTTCATGAATGCCTAATTGAAGAGGTTGAACCAGATAATCTTTAAGATCTCTTTAGACTCTAAAATGTAGAATTTTAGGATCCTGATATTTGCTCTGTCATTCATCATCTTCTAGGCCATTATTAGATTTAACAAGGAGACCATGTAAAATATCATAGGAGTAAAAGGGACTGCTATGAGTAATTACACCAGGACAAGGGGTGAGTCTGTGCCAGGATAAAAGGTCAACCTTGCTTCAATGCAGTCTTTGTTGGCTGGGCTTCAGGTTTGGGGTTGTTATTTGTGGTACCAGAGAGAAAGCTATTTGGAATTTGTGGTCAGGGCTCTGATACAAGATTTCAAGGATGCCACACACGTGGGTTCCTAGAGCAGCTAACACCTGCCACCATCATTTAGGTGGCATACCTGGTCCCTTCTGCTTCCAAACAAGAAGTCTGTGCGCCCAGAGTTAATATAACCCCCTAGCTGTGCCCTGCTAAGTCCATTTAACCCCCAGTGTTCCATGATTAGTCAATGAATAAAATATTTTAATCCCCTTGAGTAAAAGTGCACAGTTCTGTGCTATCATCTGAAAACTTGGCCATAGAGATAACAGATACCTGAATGAAACACCATTATCCACAAACATTGGTCATATGGGTCATCGTCTTCATCATGACTCTTACTTTTTCTCTAATATGTATAAACTTCCCAAGTTAAAACAGCATTGCCTGCACTATATTTGTAAACATTCTTATTTCCGTGGAAATCAGAGCAAATGGAACAAAACGGGTCTACCTGAGAAGCAGACTGGCAGAGAGGGCTTGCCAATTCATTCACTCTCAGAGTTTGAACTTGCCTTCCCTTGAGATCTATAAGAATGGCTACCATTTTCTTATGAATTACAATTTAGAAGTCATTTGGAAGCTCTCAGCTCCATCTCCCCTTCTAAAGTTGGGAATATTCTTGCCTCAAAAGGCAATCCTAGACCAAAGCTAATAGTTATCATCAGCTTTCCAAGCTTGTAAAGACAGTTTCCACTTCTTTGAGTAACCCTGGACACTTAATATTTCCAGACATCTCTGGAGGACAGTCCTTGAAAATGTATAAAAAGAATCATAGCTGAAATTGCAGGTTTGCTATAAAAAAAAGGTTAAAAATAGCCAGCTGCTGTCCAGGAGCCATTGGCTCAGGTTGACAATGTGGAGTGGACAGGGTGAAGGTAGTGGCTATCTCTTGACCTCAGTAATTCCCACAAGTGGCTGCTGAAAACTTCCTTGTGCCTCTACATTGTATCAAACAGAGTGACCAGAGCTGACCTGACATCAAAGCTTTGTAAAAATACTGTGGCCCAGAGAGCATGAGAGCCTGAATTGTGGGGATGAGAGATTAGAGATAGGACTATACACTTCAACAGGCTTTGGGAATTGTGTAGTTTGTCATGAGTCTGGCCATTGTTGATTTCCTGGTGTTGCTATTGCCAGGTGACCATCACTATCATTAACTTTGGGTGTCAGCACATTGAGATACACCAGACAGTCTAATGCAATGACTTTCCCAGGACAGATGTATTTGCCAGGAAAATGGAAAAAGGGAAAGGGACTGGGACATTGAGTAAAATAGGAAATGGCAATGACCAGAGGTCAGAGCCACCGTTCTCCCTAATTTGGGTTACAAAATTCTCCATAATTTTCTTTGCTTTTTTTTGCTCAACTTCAAGCATTTTAACATTTTCACCAACTGATCAACACCTGCTTTTATCAGTCTCCTTAAATCTCTGTCTCATTGCAAAAGGTGCCAGAAGAGTGCTTCCTCTTCTGTTATTTATTGTTCTTAAGTGAGAATTCTCATGGGGTGGAGAGATCTCAGAGTAGTGAACAACCAGCAACATGCTGAGCCAATATAGCCATAAATACAAGGGTCAGGTCTCTAAACCCAGCCACCAGGTAGGTCGAGGATGCCTGTATGTGAGCCAGAGAAGGGACTCTGTTCAATGGAATCTGAGTCATAAGGCACCTTCCAGAGCAGCCCCTGGGGAAAAGCAGAGGTTGAAAAGGGCTGTGGATGTGAAAAAGCTTCCTTTCTGAAATAAAACGTTGTCCTTGTCCCCTATATGGTGTATGAAGTGTACCTCTTAGAAACCAGGGCTGTGGCTCCTGCAGATGGTGAGCCATCAGCCAGCATCAAAGGAGACCTTTCAGAGTACTATGGTGGCAACATGGCGTCATGGAAAGAACAAGGACTTAGAAGTCAGATGGTTCCCCGATGAACCTGATGACCTCTTGTACTCTCTTCCACTGTAGGCTCCAGAATGAAATGAGCTTCATGCCAAGTAAACATGGGATGTGGATAGATATCTATACACAGGGTCACAAACTCAAATTCTACAGGGACTAGAAAGAAATGTCAATGTGTGGGCCTGACCTACTAGAGACAAAATAGGAGATTAATATTCATCTAGAGGAGGCAGCTTACACTCAGTGCCCTCAGTGGCTGCTATGAAGGAATGCCAGAACCCAGAGACATCCTATTACCCCACTACAGTACATCATTCACCTGGGCTGCACAGGCAGGTTCCAACAGTGTGAAGGCCAAACTGCACATATCCATGGCATGGAATCAGTCCATGTGTGCCCTCTAGTTTACATCATCTGTCTCATTGGACCCAAAACACAAATCACAATCCTCTTGTCTTTTAGGCTAAAGTACTATGGTTTATTATACTAGGCAGCTCTGTTGCTCTATTTTATTTTTTCTTTTTGGCTTGGATGCTATTGCTTGTTCCAAAACCATAGCAACAGACTCAGACTAGTCTTGGCCAATTTCCTTATCCCACCAACTCCTGAAAGCCTTATAGACCATGACCATCACTTCGTTTTGTATGATTCCTCTTTTGCCTGTGTCTCCTTTACTCCTCACCCTACCCATCCTCCCAAATCCTGCAATTGTTTTTGAAGGTGTTGTCTCTCCCCTCCCAGGTACCCCACCACCACAGTTTCAATATAGTCATCTCAGCAGAATCGTTAAATCACCAAAGCCCAGCTGCCTGAGGGTTCTCTATCTAAACTCCAGCTCCTTGTGTGAGAAACAGAGGCCTAAGCTAATTTCATTCAAGTATATCTTGTATCTTTTACCCTGGTCAGCATTAAATCAGGTCCTTTTAGGGATAACAGCAACTTGGCACTGAAGGAAAGTTCTCTGGCTGAATCCTTGACTGAGGCAGAAACTCATTCTCTGTATGCTGTTTATTCAGGGGAAGAATTCACATGTGGCCTCAGGTTGGCTCAGGAGTTGCGGCTTCACCCAGGTTTGCAGCTGAAAACTAAAATTTATAAGCACCTCAAGCCATTTTTCCTAAGTCTCCCAGTGAGTGGTGGTGGCTTGACTAGGATTGAGGGCCTAGAACCTTCCTCGTGGTCAGTCCGGCTCCCTGACCACTAGACCACACAGTCCGGGCTTAACGTGTACTCAGCAAACCTCAAACTCCAGGCCCAAAGAAACAGATTTTCCAAAAACAGAGCTCTCTTTGTGAACAATTCAGCAAAAATTTTCTTTCCAGCTGTGAGGTGGGATTCATGTTGCAAATGTTGGTGTTAATTAAAAACATCCACCTTCTTCAGTTTCAACAATAAGGGAAAAGCACCATGCAGGATGTGTTCCTAAGCACTTCCCTCCAAAGCACTTATAAAAGGGATTTTATTTATGACATGAATTGCGGGGGTTCTGACAGATATTATCATTCCCAATTTTCAGCCCCAATGAATAAGTTGGGGTCAAGGAGATGGATGAGATAAGCCCAAACTGCCACAGAGGAAAAATTAGTGTCAGCGATAGAAATACACAGTTCCTTTCCCAAATCATCCACTAAAGATGTCCAAGTTTCTGTACCTAGCTGAAATAAAATGTTTATCTGTCAAATCACTAAAAATTTTCCTCACATAGCTCCTAGCCCTTCAGACATAAACAAATAAGGTATGACAAGGCTAAGGACATTCCACAAAGGATGACACAGTATATTCAGTAATTGAGATGTTAGATTACTTTCCTATATTTCTATTACGGTTCTCACTACATTGAGAAATCTTTATCTAAAGTGGTCCAGAGCTAGTGAGAACAGAAAGATTGAATCGCACCCCTTCTTGTGCTTGTCTCTGCTTAGTTAATTTGTCCTGCTTTGATACACAATCCAGACAAGAAAGAATCAAGCCAAAGCCACATCATTATGAATGAATTTCTTTGTTTTTAATTTCACACAGTTTAAAATACAATATGAAATCAGGCTACAGTATATAAAAAACTCTCCAGCAAAATGATGTGCCAGCATCAGCTACTAAAATAAACAAACAAAAAACTCCCCTGTAAGAATTTTTTTGCATTTTTTTAAAAAAACACATAGACACTTACATCGCTACATCTCTAAGCTACCTCAGTTCTGATTTTTAAAAAGCACCTGCTTTTCCTTTTTTCATCTTGCTTTTAAATTTTCAGCTTTAAAAAATATAAATTATATGAAAATACAAGTTGGAAAATAGTCAAACACAATATAACATCTTTTTCACCCCTATACTTCTCAGCTTAAAAAAAAGTATTCTTAAAAAAAAGTTCAATAACTGAGGCAGTATTCCTGATAGAGATAATTTCATTTTAATATATATATTTTATATATGTATATGTATACATATATTTGTGGTTCCTTGAAACTTCTTTGGAATGTAAGTAAGAGTTCAACAAATTTATATAGACCCCAACAGAGAAAGCGGCATGCACAGCATGACTAGAAGACAGAAGGTGTATTTTTCACCATGAAGGTTAGGCAGGTTAATGCTCTAAAACCCAGAGTGTTCATCTCCAAAGTAAGGAAAAGCACATCTGATCTTTGAATGCTACCTCCAATCCCCACGGCCACAAAATCAGGGCTCGAAGTAGGGAAGCCCCTCCCCTGAATGGAGAAGGGAGCAAAAGTGACTCTAAACCCTAAAGCCAAAACCGATACCGGTTAAAGCGTCTCCAGGAAAACAAGGGTTTCACCCAGATAGACCAGATTTGCCCATCCTTCCTCTGAAGTTAACATGTGTTTTTCAAAAGCATAAATGCAACAATTTTGCTACATTTCCAGTGTATAAACCACCCACCACTCTTCCTGGGATGGTCTCTGGCCTTTGGACAAAAGGAGAAAAAAACATCTGGCCAGATTGACAAAGTTGTCTTAACTAACACACTATCTACAAATCCTGAAAATGGTGGATCTAGAGAGAAAGGGAATCTTAGCAAACAAGCGGGCTGAGGAGCACTAGGAGGCACTTTCTTATACTTTATTTGCTGTAGGAATTGCAGGAGTTAGACTCACAGAAGGGGAGTTTTAGCATAAATTTAATAGGAAAGGTTGATGATTTGAGAAAGTGATTTTATGCCTGGTTGCAAACAGCAAGCAATGACCGATATCCGGCCCTGGTTCTACTCTCACCCATTACTGAAATGTGGAAAGACTTAACTAGAAAACTCAGGTATTATTTCAGCTGCAGTTTTGCATGTCTGCAAATACACACACACATACACACACACACACACACACACACACACACACACACACACACACACACACAAACACTCTCTCTCACACACACCCTTTGCCAGTGCCCAACAAAGATCACACAATCAAAGAGAAAACAACGTAGTCCAAACAGTTCCACCTAACACTCCCTGAGCAGCTCCTAAAATATTTTGAGAGCTTCATTAAGGCACCTGCATCCAAAAGATCAAAATACACAAATGGGATAACCCCGCCTTTGTTTTCCATATGGATGCTCCAATTTATTAGTATGAGAACACATGAATCACAGAGCTATGTTCCTGATAATTCAGGGTCTACAAGAAGATCTGGGAGTAAACAATCAACTTTCTTGAAGATATGCTAGAAGGTAGTTAGCACTTCCAATTTCTCAGCTAAATCCCAAAAAGAGACAGCCCTGAGAAGTTTGTCTTAAATGTTTCCTCCCCTCTCACGGAAGTCCACTAAGCCATCCCCCCCTCATCCTCTTAACTGGGCATCTGCAGAGTGGGAGAGCTTCTAATTGTATTAGGCACTTTTCCTCACAAATTTGATGTTGGTTTTCCCCCCTTTAACTCCATTTTCAGATCTCCCTTCACAACCAGCAGAAAGATGACTTTCTTCAGTTGACTGTGTTGAGGGAACTAAAAATATATTAAAATCTCATGGACCACCTTATTTTCTTCACTCAGGCTCCTTCCCTTGTTTCCTTTGCCTTCAAGCCATTCCTCTCTTCAGCAATGAACCTTCACTTATCCTGTGCCAAGACATCAGATTCAAGCACGAGGCCCTAACATTGTCTGTGCCATTCACTTTACACGGTCTCACCTGACATCCTGCCCAACTAGTTTAAAGTCTTCAAAGGAAAGTCTTGTACTTCTCCGGTCAAAGACAGTCAACTCACATTTATTAAAACGCTCTCTTAATTTCCATCACTTCTAAACCCCAGCAAGTCTAAACTCTACAACTCACGTCGTATCTGAAGTTACTCTTTTATTCACTGATCAGAAAGCTGTACAGTTTCTCCCTACTGAATAACAGAGTGAAGGGGAAGCAAAAAATGAGTTGGGGTGCTGGGAAAACAAGACATGAAAGAGAAATTATAGAATGTTAATTTGGAACAACATGCTTTCAGGACTTATTTCTTAAGACCCGAGAGGTAATGCCCATGCATACAGCTTTTATTCCAAGTCATCCATGCTATAGGTACAGGACTAAGAAAGAACCAATCAATCTTTCTCCTTTGATTTCCTTTTCTTGACTTCAACAGTGCTCCCACATTTACTGTGGTCCAAAACCAGGGATGCAAAATACATTCAGTTCAAAGACTTAATGCTTCTTAACTCAACATTAAGTCCAAACCCCGAGAATCCATTAATAACAAATAAGTAAAGGGGTGTGATAATACCTTTTTAAAAATTGTAGATGAAGTTCACACACAAAGTTCCCTTGTACTCAAATCAGCATTATTTTTTCCTTCATATATAAGTCACACGAATTTGGGATCCCTGATCTCAGTGATAGCGCTTTGCTTTTCCAATGGGGTCTATATAAACAGTTTTCTTTCAATGTGACAGAATCCTCAGCCGGCAAATAAAAAACAAAGTTGCATGATATTGCAATACTGAGACCACCTTAGAGCTTAAGACGATTTTTAAGAAAAAAAAAATACTGGCACAAAATTTAATAAAATAAATTTTAACACAAAAACCATTTTGGCCCCTCCCCATTGAAGTTCATCTTTGTTTCAAAAGTAGAATAAAAGGTAAATCGTTCTTTCGTCCTCAGTTTTTAGTGCATCCCCCCCAAAATGTTTCATCCCACCCCCCCCTTTTGTTTTGCCCTCCCAGATCTAAAAACAAAAGCAAATTAATTGCCTTTCATCAGTCTCATGACTTTTGATGTGACAATGTCTCTTGCTAATGGGTTCAAAACTCAAGACAGTTTTTCATGGATGATTTTTTTTTTTAAATGATTGGACACATTAGTCTCTTCCTCTCTTGAGCCAGATCTCTTAGGCTTCTATGAAGACCCCTTCTCTCTCTCCTGAAAATTTGCTGAAGAATTTCTTGTCCCACCCACCCCACAAGTCCTGGCTTTTCTTTCCAACAGCGCACAATTGATTACAGCTGCAGCTCATTTAGCTCCCACCCCTGAATGTAAAAAATGAGTTCTGGAAAATAAAAAATAGAGTAACAGTTAAAAATTAAGAGTCCAACCAACACGGTTGTCCTTGAAAGGTCTCAGCAGGGTCCCCCAGCCCCTTCCGTGTCCATCACTCATCAGCATCCGGCTTGACATCCAGCATGGCATGGAGCTCCTCAGGGGTGTATCCCAGTAGGCTCTGCAGGTCACACACAAAGCGGTACACATAGCGTTTACCCGCCGTCTTGTGGATGATGTTTTTGTCATAATAATAGCGTAGGCCACGGCTCAGTTTCTCGTAATTCATCTTAGGTTTGTTTTTCCTCTTTCCCCATCTCCTGGCCACCTGAAATTTTTTAAAAAATAAGTAGGTAAAAATCTATAAGATAACCCAAATATGCATGCTTATATGTCTATATTATACCTATTCACTATGCTCATGTAAGACAATTAGAGATTCACATAGGCACAGAAGACATTTTTCTGACCTATCTCTTCTGAATTTTATTTTTCAAGGGTTGGGCAGAAATGAGTCAAGTTGATTCTTTAAGTCGATAAAAGCACAGTGACCCTGAACTTCTATAAAATGGGGTTAAATATTTGATTTTGAAAAACAAACAAAAAAAGCCACACCACAGACTCTTCTTTCCCTATATTACTTGTAGTATTTTCTTGCTTTGAAAGCATGAAACCTAATGGGAGGGTGTGGAGGGAGAGGCTGAGTTGCAATCATACCTGCCTTTCATCAACAGGAAGTGTTTTTTCTGTAGCAGAGCATAAATATTTTCTCATGTCTGCCAGAACAGAGATGTTGTTTCTCTTGTTCGTTGTCTTTTATCCCCAGAATTGAACATGGCACAGAACAACCACTCAATAAGCATATGTATCATGAAAGAATACACATGCTAATTAATGAACAATTGTACCAATCTTCCAAGGCACCTTTCATACTCACAGGCAGGAAGAACGCTAAGTCATAGCAGGCAACTCTATGGATGAAGAGCTGACCAGGTGCCAGGCACTTTAGTGCCTCTTATCAGACAATTATAGAAAACAAATGGGTAATGTAGAATTTTCTCTATCTTCCAAAATGAAACTAAAGCTCAAACAGGCTGCATAACTTGCTCTAGGTCACACAATTAGCAAGTGGCAGAACTGGGATTTCAATCCCAGAAAATGTCATCCAGGCCCACACAACTCCTTCCCAGGGTTTTCTCTCGTCTTTCCTCAACACAGTGCTCTCAAGCCACTCCTTTCTTACCTCATCTGGGTCAGAAAGCTTGAATTCCCAGCCATCTCCTGTCCAGCTGATAAAAGACTGACAGGACTTATCAGTGAGTAATTCCAGAAGAAACTGCCACAGCTGGATTGGTCCACTGCCTAGAAACACAAGCCATTGTGAATCATTACACCAGATACCCAGCACTTTCGGCAACTAATCCCCATACACAGCATTCCCTCGTTCCTCCTCTCAGTCCATCCAGTCAAGGGAAAATGAAGAAAACACATAGTGCAAATGTCGGAGGAAGTGTCATAAGCTCGAATTGACAAAAAAGACAAAAACTCCCTCCCTACCAAGAGAAGAAAAGCATATAAGAAAATACTATATCAATTGCCTTACTTTAATCGATTTAAGGGCTGTCCATATTTTATTACTAAGCAAACTCTAGAAAGAGAATACCTGGTCTATCCTCTGGATATTCTAAGGCAACATAATCTTTTGTGCCTTCAAAATCTAAGTCATTATTTTTGCTATACGAAGTAAGAAAAGTATTAACTGAAGAATGAATGTCTTTGCCAGTTCCAAGCAGAGTCAAAGCTCATAAGCCCTCCTTTAAAGTAGGGAGCCATGGGCCTCTGATTTGTGAGTAAGAAAGATCACTACCCTTCTATAGCATAACTTAAGTATTTTCTCATGTCTACTAGAGCAGAGATGGACTGCTTATAATATTCCTCTCCACCGCCACCCTGCTTCCCGGGCCAATTAAAAAATAAGCACTCAAACTAAGAAAAAAAAAGCATCATCACTATCTGAGGAATTAACTTGCCACCCAGGAAATCCTCCGAGGTCAGACCAGAACTGTTTTAGAAATTCTTAATGGGTTCAGTATATTCTAACACACACACACACACACACACACACACACACAACACACACACAAACACACACACACACACACACACACACACACACACACACACCTCATGTCTTAGTCATTAACACTGCCAAGATCTTAGATCTAAAAGGCCTGGTATATTCTAGCAGCCCATTTATCCTACCACACAGATTTTTTTTTTGGATGGCTTTCTATTCTGAAATGACGATGCTGCCGGTGATTCCTATCCAATCTTTGGGTGTAGCTGGAGAAACAAATGTAGGTTCAGCAGCCAAGCTGCTTGTTGCACATCTATATTGTGCCTTGTACACATGTGTGTGTAGATGGATGAAGTCCGGGATGCCCTAGCTCATACAGGAAAATTTAAGACTCTAAGATTTTCTAAGACAATAATCCTTAACCCCACTTTCAAATTTGCCTGACCCAAAGGAAAATGAGAGTCAACAGCAAGCAAGCTTTAGGTTCCCTCTCAGTCTAAAAAAGAAATAGCCTGTATGCTCTAAAAGGGCAATCTCTTGTTATGTCTTGTACTTCTACCAAGGCATGTTCACAGGCATCATTTTACTTGCTCCTAAAATCTATGCACCATCCATCTGCTGTAAGGAGGTACAAGTGGTCTTACTGTTTCCATTCTATTGGTGCGCAAACAAGGTGATCAGGAAAGTTCTGTGACTTTACTCCACGACATAGTTAACAAATGGTGATGCTGGGCTTAGTGCCCAGATCTTCAGACTTCAAGCACCAAAGCAGCCTCAACTGAGCCATATGAGGAAACAGTTACTAAAAAGCGTTATCATCCCACAGCCAAAGGAAGCATCCTCCAGTAACAGTTTCCTAATGGTCGTTTCCAGGGCTCCTCCTCAGCACTCCCCAAGCTAAATAAGAAAAATGAAATATGTCTACCTCCTCTCTGAGAAAGTACCTTTAACTTTTTAAAACCAACTTGCAAGACATAACTTACATGCATTTCAGAATAAAATGATTCAGCAAATGCCTACAAAATAAATTAACATTAGAAGAAACAGCCCAGAGGACTACACTGGTAAAGTCATAACTTCCTGTTCTTTAAAAAAAATAACAACAACAAAAACTACGATACAACTGATACATTTGCAGCTTTTTTAGGAGTAAAGTCAACAGCTACTGCCTGTCTGGGCTCACAAAACTAACATGACATTACATGAGGAATCACTGAAAAGCCATTCTAATGGGCACAAGGAGGTAAGAAAGCAAATCTTTCACAAGAAATGCAGCAGCAAGGGCCCAAGAGACAAACTAGGTTTCTTGAAAAACTTCACAGTGACTACAGACAATCAGCAGAACCCCTGAAGAGACATATGTAAAGGCAAACCTCTCCTGTGCCAAGACTACAGGCTTTGGACGTGGTGGGGGAGGGCAAGGGGCTTGCTTTAAGACCCCTGACAGAGAAGAAAACTAACAAGAGCTATGACTGTGTACCTATCATGCACCAAGACACTGCGAGTGATGCTTTTCCTCTGTCTCACTCATTCCTCACAATAACTCTATGGGGTAGATGCTATTGTTATGCTATTTGCTTCTACCACTTAACAGCAGAGAAAACTCACTACATGACTGTCTAACTTGTGCAAAGCCATTCAGATCAGCAGTGGAGTAGCTGTAACTGGAACCCAGGCAGTCTGGCCCCCAAATGCCTCATTTCAATGCTACATTGCCGCTGGACACGACCAAGACAAAGGCCGGACATCCAAACTGCCTGCCTGGTATGGTGCTCCAAGAGAGAAAAGACCCTGGCTTCAAAAACCCTTATCTTCCCCACCTCTCAGGGTAGTCACAGGACACCAGGTGATCAGTGATTCTCCCGATGGTCTGACCACTAGTGGTCACGCTGCTTTCTAGCCTCAGGGTCCACCTCTGCAGGTGATGTTTCAGCTCATCTCAGACAATTCCCCTTGTGGTAGTTGTTAAGTTGCATTACAGCATTACTTCCCCCTCCCACTATTTATCTGAGGACCTATCTTAAAATCTCTTTGAGGGAGAAGAGGGTAATTATGCCAAGCTAAGGAAAGGGATGGAAAGTTTGGGATCCTTCTACCCAGGGAAGTCCCAGTCACTGGCAGGGAACAGCAAACACACCCACAAGTCCTGGAGAGCAAGGCCCATGAGTACACCCCCGTCTCCTGCCCTCGGCAGCCATAAAGCTGAGACAGGAATGTCAATTCATGTTGTTGGCACCAACTCTTACAGGAGGAATCCTTGGACAGTATTACTACTTTGTTTTTTTCTGCCAGTACCATTTCGGAAACTGAAATGTCTAACAGTGGCAGGCTCCAGAATGCTCCAGCCCTCTCTCTGTGCATATGTGACCACCGATACAGGTATATATGGCCAGGGGACAGGGTGAGTTCTTGCCAGAGGATATTTTTTCCTTGTTATAGTTTTTCTTTGTTCAAAAGGAACATAAAAATGTTAAGCTCAGATACTGGGAGCTCAGATGCCAGGTGCACAGCTCTCAAACTCTTTTCTATTTACACCAAAGGGAAGAGGGGGGTAAACAGAAAAAAGCAGATACCTAAAGAAAGCATAGGAACTTGAATAGGAAGCAGTGTCCCTGGTTGGCTTCACTATAGGAAAGTGAACAAAGTGGTGACATCACCTCCAGTCTCCTTCCCCTGATTCCAGCAGAGAAATCCTGCATGCGAACTAGAACACACAGAGCTCACCCTTCAGAAAGCCCAAACTGTTGTACCACAGAAGAAAAAACCGTGATCCCTCCTGAAAGAGTCTTCTCGTGTACCTTCTTGCTGCTCCTAAATTGCCCTTTTGTTGTTGGGAATACTAGAAATAAGATAGACATGGAATTGTTCTCCCAGCCAGAAATGCTGGGCCAGGGCAAGAATACTGGCTTCAGAGTGGGCTCAGTCTGCAGCTAGACTAGTGGCTGATCTAACATAGGCAGGTCTTCACTTCTGGTCTGGGAGGGGAAATCAGTCACTTGGAAGCCCATGGCTTGAAGGCAGCTCTGGGGTTGGAATGCAGGCCTGGAAGGCAGATCTGCCAGCCACACCCAAGTCCAGGTTCATCGGAAGTTCTTATGTCCCAGATGCATCCAGACAATGAATGAGTCTAGCACTCCCAATTACAACTCTTACAGAAGAAGTTGCTGTACTGCCCAAATCCAGAGGGCCCCAGAGCTCCATCCCTTGCTCTGCTCTAACATCTAAAATTGTAGTAAAGCTTCTTCCTCTATTCTCCCTGCACCTTCCCCTCACCCCTGTGCCCAGCCCTGTCCACCTACCCAAATGGACTGTGGTCTCAGTGACCTTTGTCCCCTGGAGCAGAAAACGGTACTAAGAATAGCCCTAGTCGTGGGAAGGGGAGCTCACATGTTCAATGTGACTCACAATGGTGTCCCTGTCTGGGGGCCTCAGGGCAGTCAACAGTGCCCTTCACTATGCTGCCTGGGAGTGTCACACATCAGGAATCCCGTGGCATCACTGGGAAACTATGCTTCTCAAGTCAAAGCTCTGAGCCACAACAACAGAGGGGTCCCTGTTAGAAGGAGGTCTCCTTCCAGAGCCATGTGGGAGGGAGGGAGGGCACCACACACACACACTCCAAACCCCCGTCTCCCAGGGTGTGGGACCTCCACACCCCCCTGCCATCTGTTCCCTCTCAACCCTCCCTGGCGGCAACTGGGGAACTTCCTCTGACTGCTTTGTTCATCTCAGTTCTGGATAAGAGGGAAATTCTTACTACACTGACAGTCTTGATTTGAAGAACATGGTACCACCACCTCTAAAGAAGAAAGATCAGGTGGGGACTAGGAGGGATCCCAGGCCAGCAGGGCAAATCACACCAAGGATGTTTCCCTCCAAAGGGGACCCTTGAGGGACCTCAAATCTAAGGCAATAATCTCATTTTTAAAAAGTAAGACTTCAAATTTCTGCCCATTTTGGTTCTATTTCAAGCCCCTTCTATTTGTCCAGGAGCTACAAGGCCCATCATCCATCTCAATGAGGGCAGGTTATTAAAAATTCTCTGCTTGTCTGGCCCCTATCCCTGAGACTAAGAACTAAACGACATAAATAAATACATAGAAGTAGGCTAGGACAAAATTTTCATAACATGTTTTGATAATCTTTGCCATTACCAATCTGTCAGTATCTCTGTTTTCAAGTTCCAGGTTTAGGAGTTGCATGTCCATTAGCAATGCCCTCCTCACAGCTAGCAAACAGGTTTGGAGTTGGACTTCAGTTTTTCCTCCTACTTCTTCCTCATTTC